GTCTACAATCCATTTCCCTGCATGCGCCTTGATCAAAGGCTAGAGCCCCTGCTGCTTGACCCATTACTGATTAAAGTTAACTCATTGAACTCAGTAAAAGAAGTTAAATTGTGTTCATTTTATTGAGTATGTTTACATTAACTTGGTTTTTGTTAGCGAGAGCAAATCGCTCCCCTTAATTCACTTTGTTGATTTAAGGAGAGCAATTTTTAATCGCTCTCCTTAAATCAACAAAGTGAATAAAGGAGAGCGATGTTTAGCTCTCCTCGTATTTATTAAAGTGAAGCCCTGTGAATAGCAGGTATCTAGACAGTTTCCCTATTCAACAATGCAGAAAAAATGACCGTGTACATGTATTAACATTTGATAATGCCTGCGCTGATTGGATAATACCTGCTGCGTAAAAAATGCATCTGGCACCTGGATACGAGACAGTTTAGTCCATCCCTATTGGTCATGAGTCTGCGGGTGACGTGGCATGCAGAATGTGCCATGAGTGCACCAAGTCCATATATGGAAATTCTTCTAGGCAATTTGCACAAGGAATATACAAATTAAAAGTAAAACTCTATAATAAAATTGATAGAAATCTATCATGTATTGACATCTTTTCACTCTGACTCAAAAAAGGGTATTTATGAATGGGAAAAGTTAATTTAAGACCGGCCATAAAATCTTTATTCCCTTATTTAAGGACACGCCCTTTATTTGAGAGATACATGTACATTAAACATCCAGCAAAGATCTCAGCAAAAAATTTTAAATTCAGCCTGCTTTTCAGCAGTGTCAGAAAAAGAAAAATTACAAAATTTGCATGCATCATTTACCTTATTTACAGTCAGAAAAGTGTCAGTTTTGATGAAAATTATTAAAAAATGGAAAGCTTGACAACAAATCCAAGTTGTTTTCTCGGAATACACTATAGAATGCACTGAGCGGAAATCTCATCAGGTTTGTCCTTCTTCAGATTTTGAGTAATTTTGTTGCCTCAAAAAGAACATAATGCACAAATGCCAATGATGGACCGCACCTTTAACATGACCAGATAGTGTTGAAGGTTACTATATTAACTTACACACAGTGTGCTGCAGTAAGGATCCACTGAGGAGCAATCAGAGAGCCTCCACATTGAAAGGTTCCGTGGAACAGCATGCCAGCCTGCCATGGCCACTCTCCCTCCTGGGCATTCTTCCCTCCAATGATACGGGTTTCTGGTTCAAGTATGGCAGTCTGCCGGCCACAGGTTGTGTTGTCTGGGTGATGGTGCATTGACATTGAATAGAGAGAAAATGAAATGTGCTTGAAATATGAATGCCATGAAAAATTGACTGTGAAAGTTTGTAAAGGACAACCATTGGCCTGACTATCGTTTGTTTTTTAAAGATTCTGACCGTTTGTTACGCAGTTCGATTATCAGTTTGACTGGTACTGTAAAGAAAATTTCAGACTTTAAAGAGCAACTCAAATGCAAACATGTTTTCTCTGATTTTATTTTTCAAATAAATATGGAAGTATCCAAATTGAACACAGTGTTATTTGTCTTTAGAGCTCAACTATAATAAGCTGAAAAGGCCTTTTTTCTGTACATGCGAATTCTGAACATGATGAATGTAGATTGCATTATTCTGAGAAAACAGAGAAACTGAGGGGAACCCTCGCCCTGTGTTCGTAGTGGACAAACCTTGTGTATGCCAAACAATGGCTACATGTCCTGTTTGACATGCACAGAATTCGCACCTTGGCATGAACAGAAAAAAGGCCTTTTTTAGCTTGTAATAGTTGAGCTCTGAAAACAAATGACACTGCGTTCGATTTGGACGCTTCCATATTCATTTGAACAGATAAATCAGAGAAAACATGTTTTCCTTTGAATTGCTTTTTAAGAATACTGCACTGTAAAAAGGAGCCTAGGGGTCTCTCTCACATGATGTCATTTCCTACAGGTTGTCACGTGCATTGTCAGTTTTTAGTTCAATTTTCCTGACGTGCATCGGCTGCGCTGTAAGCCTGCGAGTTTGGAACATTTGGACACTGCAACTATTGCCGTTGTACATGTACATGTATATGCAGTTGCAATTTCTCTACAAAGATGGTGTCTAATGAGAGAGATCTACATGTATATATACCCATGAAATCTAGGTGTACACACATACATGTATGGTCTGTAGTATGCAACAGTCATGACAGTTGGTCTTGATCTTACACAAATAAACAGCCATATTATAACCTTATATTATGAGGCACTGAATGTAATAGACTTGAGACGATAAATATGTCATGTCTGCAAACCTCCATCTGGACACAGCAGGGACATGCATAAATGAGTGAGTGCACTGTTTATTTGGAAACTCATTTTCTGAATAGGAAATTGTGATTCAAGTCTGTCCTTTTCCACATGCAGCTTCTCTACTTAATTTTCTTAATTTTTGAAATTTCAAGTGATGCCAGCAGTTACACGTAGCTAACTGAAAAATGGCCTACAAAGACCATCCCAAAACATTCCTGCTTCAAAGCAATTTTCCTTTGCTTTGATGAGTCCGACGACATCCAAACTTGTTCATGAATCAATTATGTCTAATGTGTCATCCTCTCCAACATCACTTCAAAACCACAAAAAAGTCCCTATGAAAATATACATGTATGGGGCTTGGGGCTAGGAGTAGGACATCCCCACGGTTGGCTTTCGTTTTTATTTTAACAGACGCTGTCAGAGTCAGCGACTGTCATGATTGTGAGGGGCATGCTTAATAGAGAATTCCGGCGAAGAGAGGCATGTAAGTAAGACTAAGATTACCCGGACAACCTGATGAGCTGCAACAGGATCGTACCCGTAGACCTGTGACCCTGTATCTGCATGTTTGTAGGCCTATACCTGTATCGATGGCCTATAGGCTTGTCATATTTATCAGGACTGATGCATAGCACACCTGTTCGACGTTCGTCGCTTGCACACCGCCATCGTTGGGGCGAAGCCTCGGGCGTAACTAGACGCAAGCATGTCTAGGGGCAGGCTTATATACTTCCAATCGACTTATCAATCAATCTGTGACAAAAACTGAACTCCTCTTCTGAAGAAAAGTTTGCAGTAGGAAATACCCCACGACAACCCCAGGTGCAATCAACTTCCTGATTCCGCACGTACGTGTGCACGTGGCTAATATAGTTAGTACTACTGTATCGGCGCCCTCATTTGGTAGTGGTCGTTCAAGTTATGCTCGTTCCGCAAACTTCGTCTGCACAAAGCTACCGGTTTCTTAGGGTTGCCCAAAGTTTTCATAAGTTCTTGATTGGAAATACCTTTTTATTAATTAAAAGGCTGTTTGATTGTTTTTCATTGTGAAGGTTTTCATCTGCACTGATCATCAGCCATACAATAAAATTCTGACGTAGTGTGCTCATACCACTAAAATGACATGAAATACTTGACGCCAATAACCGTAGGCCTACGATTTGGCCGGGGGCAAGTCGTGACTAATGGTGAATACTGGCATTGTTCAAATTTTTAGTTCCTCAAAGCAAGCGTAGTGTTGGGACAAGCAAAATACCTACGACAGTAGGATTTTTAGGTGTATTGAACTTCATGGATGACTGGGCTGGATTATTTTTGAGGGAATTAATGATAAATACTTTGAAATCATAAAATCAGAAAGAAAGAAAGAAAGAAAGAGCGTATGGTATGACTGATGTTATTCCAACTCCTGAATAACCTTTTATACTGTGTCCTTGCTCTATGCTTGAAGCAACTGAATGGTGTGGATACTTCAGGGTACATTGTCTTGAACAATATAGTGTTGAAGCATCATCCTAGCAGCAGTCTGGCACTCCTTCTCTGACGACGGATTACACTGCCCGAAACGTCAAGTATATACTCTCACTACAGATCCTTCAAAAGCACACTTCTTTAAAGGGCTTCCACGCATACATCAACCCTCAAAGAGCCGGTTTATTAATTGTGGCCCACCTCATCTGGGTTGGGGCCCGGGCGGATACCGCCGCCACCCACTGAACTCGGCGCTACCGTACGTGAGCGATGTTTTTTTAAAACTTGGCAAAACAAAATGCGAACAGGCTATACAAAATGTGAAGTTTGATGTCAATCAGACGACTGATTTTGTCATGGTCATTTGAAGTTCAAGGCTACATGCATGCTAGCTCTGCGTGCATTGAAGTCCACAGTGGAAAACGCATGCGCATTTGGCTGACTGACTCGGAAAAGTGGGCGCTGCTCCAAACCAGGAGGTTCAGCGTTCACAAAATTGGTGTCAATTTGACCGCAATTCTGTAAACTTCCAAAGGCTCAACTCCTGAAAAAATATCCACTGCGGAGATATCAACAAAGAAATGTTGAGGAAGCGGATTCCGCTCCCGGCTCTTTTGGGGTTTACTCCGGAAATTTTGAAATGTTACAATAATGAGCCACGGTGATCTACATCGTCATAGTAATTTTTTCATTTCGTTGCGAGGCTTCCGTGAGTTCTTTTGACACAAATCATTAAAAAAAAGGGAAATGCAACTCACAAAACACCGATCCAGATAGTTAGAGCTTATTGATGACATTATTTCTCTATTAGTTAATAGCTCGTAAACTAATCAGTTATAATAATTACATTTCGGTATCACAGCAACAGCGCCCTCATTGATGAGAGGAAATTGCAAGTGCACTCTTTCACAAGAAAAAAACAGGGGAAGTTGCAGAAGTATATGTTCTCCCCGTCATGACTCTGTGAATGATGTGCCTTTTTGTTCTTTCAGTTTTGTTTCATATCAGTTTTGCCAGCCAATCAGTCTGATAGCAAGCATAATTCGGGAGGGGTCAATTACATTGTTCAACCCCAATCGAGACCACATCACCCCTATTATTTTATTCCACTCACCTTGCGCAGACACCCATGAAGCAGAGAGCAGCACGAGGACCGGTACACTTTTTTTCATAAAGGCCACTGTCCAAAAAGAAGCCATATTGAGCGCTCAGACGCCAACGCGGTCAAGGGCACTGCACATAGAAGCCTCCTGCTCGCTCCAATTCATCTGTCGTCTGTTCCAAAATAAAAAAAAAACAAAAAACGCTGAACGTGAGAACCTCTTTTGTGCCACTTCGTACCTGCGTGCTTCAGAATCCCCCAAAGTTGACGTTGATCTTAAACTACCTCTCACCGGGCGTGCATCGGTTTCTTTCAACACGTATTAATGTTTAACCAGTCTCCGCCTGCATTTTTTGTTGAGTTTATTTACCATCGGCGACAAATGTTATCACTGACGTCGAGTGGACAACTATTACTTGGTAAACCATTTTAATGACGAAATCAAAAACTTTGAGTTTAGAAAGATAGATTCAGCACAGCAGGAAATTTGGGAGGGGGTTCATACATGTCTGTCGTGGCCTTATCAAGACTCCTGACGTTCAGTTGTAAGTCAGCTGATGAGGTTGCCACTTCAAAGTATCAGAGTACCCAGAAGTTCGGCTAAGTGTGCGTGCAACGAACCAACGATCTGTAGACGCAAATCTTTTACGTGCATGATTTGCGTGACTATATTTAGTTCAATGAGTTGTTTTCAGGTCCTGCACCCATGTTTACACGCATGTCCACTACATAACAAAACTTGGGACGCCCTCTCAAAGTCCACTTGTAGCAGGGGAAAAGTCGAGCACTGCTGATGAGCACAACAGCAAATAGACCTAACAAAGCATGCACCCTTTTCCTGACTTACACCTATCAACACAACTAGGCTTGCAAATCAATAATTAATCAAAGTTGATATGATTCATTTCACCACGTGCATTCTATTCTCAAAAGAGATAAAGTATCTGAACTCGGTTATTTTAGCCACCGGTAGAAAAAGACTGAGAAGATAAGTCCACTGCTGCCCCACTGTTTCCAGTATGCAAGACGTGAACTCCGCTGTATGTAATTCTAAAATAGTATCAAAATGGCTGTATCGGCCATGATTAATTGATTGAGCTAATCCATTTCTTCTTGTTTTCTTGTCCCCCTCATTTTGTAATTGATTTATGTATGCCTAAAGAAATGCATTTTCAAGATTTGAGAAAAAGCAACGTCTGGGTGAGTATTGGTAGCCGTAATTGGCCCAGGGTGGGGTTGAGCCTTTAGTGTTGTGTTATAGTTTATTTTACTGCGATTCCTTCCTGGGTCACTGTTTGAAACTATTTCAGTAACGGACACAACCATTGTTGTATTTGAGTCAATTACATGTCCATCACAAGTCATTCAGTCTTAAGGCAATACACAACCTATTCAAATTAGCTGTGACAAAGGCATTCCTTTGTCACTCTTCACCCTGTTACTTGTGACTGGCCTTGTGAAGGGACTTGCGATGGACTCGAATACAACACTGGACACAGCCTTCATGTAAGTCTTTTCCTTTATAAATTTTGGGGTTGTTTGCTTGTCGGGTCAGTCGGGCCTCTCTGTTTGATTCTCAGACAAGCTTTTAATGCCGAACACCTTACTGTATGCACATCATCTATACCGTCTGTGACCGTGACATTGTGTCGAGTTGTAGGACGCCCTCACGGGCCAAAACAAGCTACAGCTAACCGTTCGCGAATTTGGCGCGAAGCGCGTCTTCGGATTCTATTTCCATGGTATTTATACGCTTCCATCATATCCCATAAGCTACAGTCAGCTCTAGAAAGTTGTGCGTGCTGCTGAAATTTGCATTCATTTCCAAGGTTTGTAGCCATTTAACTTTTCCCCGAATGTTTGCGATCATTGATACGGTTAATCTAACTTGTAAAATAAGGGTTATGATGCGTTGGGTGACACTAAACTATTGTACTCGGTTCATATATTATCGCAGTATCAGAAATTCTGAATTTTGCGTTGCCAAAGAGTTCCTAGTGCATGTTTCCGTAGGTTTTGACAATTTTTAATAAAAGATGTAATTTTTCCGAAATTTGTAAATTCTCCTTGACCGTTACCGTCACGACCTTCGATCCATCTCTTTAACACTTTCTAACGCCACCCTGTCCTATAAATCCTTTGCTGGGATCCCATATGTCAAGTTCGAAATGGCCAAAGGTGTCTAAAGGCACATCTTAACTGCGAAAATGTCCTTTTTTTTCGAAGTCAAAACAAGGGGCTTCTGCGCTAAAAACCTTTTTGCGTGCTTAAAGCGCGCCCCAATCTACATCAATCGTACTTCTTCTCCTCGCCCGGGGCAATTAGCGAATGATTACATCGGCATTATTGTCGCATAAAAAATTGTTTTTTGCATTTCTAATACAATTTGAAGAATTTGCAACGGATATTTAGAATTTGTAAATATATTTTGAATAAAATAGTTCAGGTCTAATGAGATGCTTATAACTCTCGGAGAATTAGAACTCAGAAAGAAGACATTTCTAATAACTGTTTCAGACATCAGTTAAACAATGAATCCACCCCCCCAAAAATGAAATTTGCAATACCAACATATTTATGATTCCTTCGACAAAGCACCAATTGAAGTAATCAGATGAATGTCAAAGTTGTTGCTACATTTAAGATTGGGGTAAACAAGTTCTGTTGAAAAAAAGAAGTATTTCCTTTCCTGATTAAAAATTGTAAGGTGGTCAGTATAATCGTCCCCATCTCGTTCTTTCGGCGCTTGGCATCTTTAAAGAGATTGAAAAAAAATGAGGGTAAAATGGAACAGTATCACAAAATTAGGCTTTTTTGTTTTCGCTGAAAACAAAATATTCTGTTTATTTTTATTTATTCGCAAACAAAACGCTTTAAGGTCCATCGTAGAAATCATTTCTCAGTACCGCGAAAATAGAGACTCCACCTCCGCTGGCACACGGTCCGAACACAGATTTTCTGAGTTATCATCGATATCGTAGAGAAAAAAAAGGACCACAAACAGAATTTTATAAATCAAGTTAAACAGTAAGAGTTAAAAAACAGCCAGGATAGGATAATTCAGGAAGGTGAGCAAGCAATCTTTATTTCGATCGGAAAAATAACTACTGCGATGATAGAGTAACCCGAAATGGTCTCCATCCGTGGAAAGAAGTGTCTGAACGGTGTTCTGCCTCGAAATCCACAGTAAAGTGATAGAGTGCGCATGTGCTAACTCTCAACTAAGTAGCGCACACAGGCAAGGAAGTGAACATACGTGTCGTGCCGTCATGTCGCATAGTTGAGTCGCCTATTGAAGAGGAGGGGAGGTGGGTCGTAAATAGTACACCATACTTAATGCCCCCCAGACTGTAAGCCTGAAAGCTCTGCACTACTCGTTTAAATGCGCTTAACATAACTGTACGTATCCGTTTCCCTTCTTTTCGTACGCATCTTTTTCTGTATCATATTTGCACAGTTGCGCTTCACTGTGAAGAAAGATTTGTATAATCAGCACAAGCCCGGCTAACAAAGTGAAAGTCACCTCATTAGAGCAAATGAGTGCTTATGTCGTCCGTTGCCCGCCACAAATTGCCACCGCAACCCCCGCAGTCAGAGGTAACAGGTTCTCTGCAAATCCTGACCGATCAAGTGAGGACGGGAAGTCAGTCTTTGGCCACCTTGACAACAGAAATGCGCAGCTTCGAAACCCGAATCGGTGCGTTAGCGAAGGAGGCCGATACCTGTAGATTCCTTGACGATTTGATAAGAGCTGCCAGAGTGGAAGATGACCACGAAATGGAATTAACTGGGAACTGGAAAGAACCTGCATAATTCATAGATTAATTTTTGTGTTTGATTATATATTCAGAAAAAAGATGGGTATTTATTTAACCCAAGGAGTCTGTGGGAAATACGTTAGAAGCCAACAAAAGTGAACAATAATGAGTTATTTAGCCTTGACGTTCGACCCGATCACAACCACTCTTTCAAACAATATTCCTCGTAATGTAAGCCCGATCCTTTTGTTTTAAACTTATGTTTGAAAGTCTGCATTGAACCTTGGATAAAGCAATACAAATCACGAAAGCATGTACATTTTTTGGCCAAGTTACAAACTTAAGGTCAGCGGCATTTCCCTCCTGTAAAATGTTGGTTGCAACTTGTGTCATTGTTAATATGAAACGTGAAACGTAAACTTCATATAACTCCTATCTGACACTATCTATATTAATCCTGTGATCGCGTGAGCGGAATGATTAAATTTCATTTTCACTGCATATTATTTATGGTCATTCGATTGCTGAGACTTTTAGATAATGTAGTGCAAGGAAATCACAGCAAGTATCTGTTTGATCCAATAATATCCACCACAAAAATTGTCTCACATTCCTGTCATTTATATTTTCTTTTATTACAAAATGGTCCAATCTTGACCGTTGATGGTCAGACATGGTTGGTGGCATACACTCAGTTTGCTTAGTTTTAATCTTGACTTTGACGGCAGGTCAGGAACCCACTGGGCCGCACGTCTGCAGCGAAAGGTAAGGTTTGTGTGTCAAGCTGTAACTGCTTTGTTCAATAATTTGAGTGTTGTTGCTCTCCGACCGACTGACACGCTAGCACATTCATCATTTCATGAATCCCATCTAAAATAATGGAGTTAATTGCTACCCAACTCCACAACTTCATTTTCTTCCTCGACTGTTCGTTAAAAAAAATCAGGCTCAATTTATCGACAAGGTTACAGGAAAGAGTACATCAGAGAGGCTAGCTGTGGTTGGGGAACTTCACCATGTTGATAACACAAGGTAGCTTTTAAAATATGTACATGTATTCAGCTTTAATATTCATAATGGGGACCATTCATTTCTACGACTTTGAGAATGAAATACTGAAATACCGGACGTCGAAAATTTGAAACTTTGACGTATGACGCTGCTGTTGCAGTAATAATGGTGCTTTCCATAAACAAGTTTTCAGTGCGCTTCGTGTCCTTGTGCTTGTATCACACAAAATGCCAACGGGCATAATACGAATAGAGAACCGTCCAAAACAAAACCCTTTTGAAAAAATGGCTTGAAACGGATGGGAACCGAAGTTGGACCCCGAAACTGACTACCTTTTGGACCTGCACGACTCGTTGTGAACTTGAAGGATTATGGATTCGGCTTGGCTTGGAATCGGCTGAAGTGAACTTTCAATTCATTTTTGAAACTGGTCCAAAGTCTGTTGTATTGACTATTTGCCCTGGGAAAAAAGAGATTTGTACCTTAGAGGATGGTAGAGTGACCACCAGAGACCAATTATAATCAGTGTCATCTTGGTGTCACGGTTGGATCCCGGGAGGCAGAGAAGATGACGTCCTCTCTATTTTCTTTTTGGAAAACATTAGAACCGGGTGTTTTTATTGGAGGGTAACTATTTCGTTTCCTTTCTTTCCAAAAACCGTGTGAAAAGCTACCAATTGGATGCCTCAGAAAGGTTACATCAAGAAATTTCCAAATTAAGTTATAACACTCCGAAAACAATTTTGGCCTTATTTATAGTTCGGTTCCACCCTTGCTTAGTTAAGAGTTCGTCTTAGTACACCTCATGCGTGAAACATTATCAGACAAGGTACTTTCCAAGATCCATCACTTTCTGAATAGGCATTTATGAAATGCAAACAAAGGTATTTAAAAGAGCGTCCAAAGTTGTTAGTTCTTCAAAAATAAGTTCTCAAGATGTATCAATGCATTTTGTCACTGCTCTAATGACCATGTAAGTGTCGGGTTCGTACGTTATGTAATGGGAAATTATGTATTAAGATTTAAAAGGTATAACCACTGCACAGTTTAAGGGTGCATTACCGGAAAAGAGTAGTGCCTTTTAAAGCTTCATATTTTGCAAGTCTTTGCATTTGCAAGGACTATCTCGCATTGCCAAAATATGGGAAATGTTATCTTTGACTCATTACACCGAATTCCCAATCATTTAATGGGAAAGTCACTCTAAAAACTCTGGGTCAGAGTGACCCAAACTAGGGTTCTATTCGGCGTAACCCTTTTCTGGGTCAAATTATGAACCAGAAAGGGCCAAATTAGACCCAACGAGGAGTTAATTTTTGACCCAGAAAAAGGTCACGCCGAATGGGACCCGATTCTTAGTCAATTTGACCCAACGAGGAGTTTTTAGAGTGTTCTGTTGATTTGATACGGTTGCATTGGTTTCCATAATGATCCCATTACATTGAATTTGTATCTTTCCTCTCTCAGATTTTGCTTCTTTCAATAAACCGAAGCAACAAAAATTAGATCCTTTGTTGAAAATAGGAGTTTGGCAGACAGGAAATGAAGGAAATTCTTGCATGTTTCTTTAATTCTGTCATTTTTTCGAATTTAAGGTGTGTTAAATGTGTTATACACAGTGGGCGGAAAGAAACAATCGTGAATCGTATTAAGCAGATAAATCTTGATCAAGCCAACTGACTGGGTGAATCTTAAGTAGCAATATGCTAAACATGCATGAAAAACTAACGTATGATATGATAATTATTCGAGACACTTGAGTGATGTCAGAGAACACATTATAGTTGAATAAGTTTGATTTTTCTTTTGAATTCTAAATCCCGTACATTTACTTGATCTGCGGTATAATTTCACCATAAGCCCAGGCCCAGAATTTGCTTGTGGATCTATTTTGTATACTGCATTACTCATAGGCTTAGCCCGGCTTAGACTTGGTTGAGATGGAGTCAATGTCACTGTCAACTCTTCGTTTGCCAATTCCTATTTCAAATAGATACAGGACTGTGTACATCTTGCGGTACAAAGACATTTGGTTCTGTTGCAGCAGATGGATTCGAACTAAGAACAGCTGTTCTCAACGTAAGTTAAATAAGAGGTTCAAGACTTTTCTGTACCCATCTGAAACCCAATAACTCTTGAAATACTAAAAATCCCTATACTACATTTGGGGGCAGGGAACGTTCAGGTGTACAAGCATAATTATGCCTCCATTTTCTCATTATAGCACTGGGCCTGAAGTAAATTAAGGTAACTTAAGTTTAGGAATACTGCGAGCTTGCGTCGGTTTTCTGGTCTCCGCTGCGAGGGAAATTTCAAAGGTTGTTCTTTGCGCAAGAAGTGAGCAAACCCTTTTGAAAATATCATTTTCACAATAAATCACATTTAGTTGGCAGTAAAAGAAAGTGGCTTCCATCGATACTTAAGCGTTAAAACAAGAAGTGTGACCTATATCTAAATTGACAAACTACAATTTCTTTTCTCAAGATATGTTTTGATGAATTTTTTTCTCTTCTATCTTTATGGTTCTGATATCTCTGGAAAGTTATAAAGACTTTCATGCAGAGATCACACTAAACTGAAACTAATTGGTGTCGATGTTACTTATTGCTGTTTTTGAATCAACATACATGAATGAGTAATATGTTTATATTTTAATGCCTTTTAATTTTCGTTTCATTGTCCTGAGGCTGTCATGACTTTGTTTTCATTAGTCGTAATCTAGTTGAGTTTCTATCTTTGGTGCTCATAGTTCACTGCAGCTTTTTTTCTTCCTCTTTTTCCTCACTATGGGCAATTAAGTTAAATGTTTTAGTGCTCATTGTTTGAACTCATTAACTTCATGGATTCAGTTCAACTTCTTTTCTGTAATGAAAAAAAAGAAATACGAATCCGTTTGCCAAATTTGTCGGATTTATTAACAGCATTCTCATTAACCAAATGAATACGCAAAACCATTACCATTTTTGTTTTGAGCGCACAGACACATACTGGCACGGCAGTTGGTCTTGTTGATCAAACAGCTTGACAAGGTTTCCCATTTTTTTCCAAAAGGGAATTTTGTTCAGAAATTTGTCACCAATTTCTCCCTTCCACTGTCAAAAGATTGCCCGAATTTTGCCTCTTGCAAAATATTTCTGAGAGGGTCGGGGGGATCATAAAACCCGCAGGTAAACACTAAAACTTTAGAAAATAATTCAACAAGGTATTCGTCAATGGAAGTGAAGCACCTGATTTCACGCGGATGCAGTTATGCTCCCCGTCCCTCTTGCGTCCCTCCACCGAGCCACGCCTCCCTCCTCCCACTCCAAATTGGGACAGGGAGCTTAACTTCCCTTCTCTTTTTGGAATTCGCCGGGAAAAACTTAGTCTTTGCTTGGTCATTGATGCACTCGGGAGAAATCTCAGTAAAACAAACAATTCAGCCTTTTGAATTTTGTTACAAAATTGAATGTACGCCAGGCCCCTTAAAAGGTAAGGGGGCATTGCTGCATCGGCCTTTCTGCCAGTGACATGACGGGTATATGCCTCATCATCGATCATGTCGTAGGGAAGTTTTCTTCCTGTCGTACACGCCCCATATGTGCTGCCATTGCTTTCGATCGGACATGAGACCCAAAAATTCTTGCTTCGCTTTACCCGTATAGATGCAAAGTGCCTTAACAAAGGACAACTTTGGATTTGGTTCTCACAGAATGAGATCTGACACTGGATGCTCAGTGACTCGGAGAGCATGGCCAGTGAACTTCAGTGTTCTCTTGGCAGCAATACAGCTAACTTGTGGAACTAAGCCCGCTACACACATATGTGGGATTCTAACAGTCAAGTTCCTGTTATGAACAACGCGAAGGAAACGCGTGAAACACCCATCAACCTTGTCCAACATTTCTTGGTTCACGGCCCATGTTTCGCAACCGTACAGCAATCCGGGTTCATCTGTTGCTTTAAAGAGCCTCAAGCGAAGTTCAAGGGAAAGGGGTGACTGCCGGATATAACTGTACTTTCTGCAAGCATTAAATGCCAAGGCTTTGAAATGTCCAAGTTGAAACGTCCTTATAACTAGTGCGAATGCAGGCCCCTAGGTACTTGCAGTCTTGCACTTCGTCAACAAGTGCCGTCTTTAAGAGTGAGATAACAAGAGCAAACTCTGCAACATGTCATATTTTTGGTATTCTTTGCATTAATTTGAAGACTAAGAGTAGAGGCTTCCCATTTTAGGGTCAGTAACAGGTCTTGAGCATTTGCGACATCTTCGCTGACCATGGTGGTGTCATCCGCAAAGTAAAAATCCGTGACCCAAATGGCGGGCTGTCTAGAAGACTTCCGTGATTGGATTTGAAAATCTAGTGTGGGGTTACAGAAGGCTTGGCACAGAACATAGTCTAACTCAACAACAAACAGATATGGGGAGGCTGTATTGCCTTCTAGAGCCCAGATGTCACTTTAAAAGATTGGGTATCCCCATTCGGAGTTCGGACACAGGCCTGGGAGTCTGTGTAAAGAGATCGCAGTGCACTGACTATTTTACGAGGAATCCCGTAGACTCCAAGGATGGCAAACATTTTCTTTCGAACGATGGATCAGAACCTTCCCAAAAATCGATGAAAATGGCTATTAAACGACGATTACCGCGTATTGCACCCTCGACTAGCTTACAGAGGCACAGAATTTGCTCTAGAGTTCCTCTGTATGCGCCCCAGTCCTTCCCGAATAGTTTCCCATACACACTATACCACTTCTGTGCGTGCTCTGTGCGACAAATCAATTTGAGAGGCACATTAAAATGGTCACCGTTATGTTACATATAATAATCGTTCAAAGAAAAATATGTTACATAGACACGAATACAAATGAAACCACTGGAAGTGTTCGCCAGTTACTGAGGACATGATACTTTCTCCAAACTAATTTAACTTTTTGATATGAAAATTATTTTTGTAGTCAGAGTATGCCGGTGAAAACTTAGTTTCATTTTTGAAACAAATTTGCATGTTCCAGGTGTTAATTAATAGATTTGCAGTTTTCGTTGCTATAATTTTATACTTTCCCAAATACAGGTTGTCCACCCAACACCCGCGGACGTGGCTGCAATTTTACTTGCAACTGTGTCCTTGCAAACACTTACTGTGATCACATCTGTGGGTGTTCCTGTCGCCCTGGCTGGACAGCACCGGACTGCAGCGTCTCTAGTGATACAGGCTCACGTAGCACTGGATGCACAGTGTCCCAATGGAGCATCCTGTAATCCGCTTGACAAGTATTGTTCCGGCATTCTTGGAGGGATGAGTCCTAAAAGAAGACTTATCCAGCTGAAACTAAAATATGTCCTTGCAATATTGGTGAACACAGCTTTGGGGTTCTTTGGTTCAGTGGCGGAAAGCTGCGCAGGGAATGGGGGGGGGGGTGGGATGAGGAAAGGTGGGGTAGGGAAAAGTAGGGGAAGACTTGCAAAGCCATGAAAATTTTTAAAGTTGGTGGGGTGGGGGGATGACACCATATGACGCTATATAGAGGTCGATGTTCATAATATTGATGTACATCTGTTATATGCATTGAGAAGGGCATATTTATGGGTTTTTAAATTGTTTTCCTTTTTAGAGTGATATTGAACGCATTTTAGTTCATAGAAGTTTTTAAAAATTCTTCACAGCCCGCTTTAATTTTTTGATCACCACAAAAAAGGATGGGATGGATGATTCCATAGCCCATCCGCCCATCTCAAAAAGGGGGGGGGGGTATATATACCCCAACCCGGGATTTACACCCATGCGTTGGTTCAATCATATACTGCCCCATGGTGACACCAATGGTTTTGAAAAAGGAAGCGTCGTCCGACCTGACAACGTACCGTACCTTGCAACCTAGTTAATGGGCACATTTTTGATAATATAATAATGATAATGATAAAAGTGCTGAACAGCTACTGAAAGACCTGCGGCTGAAATTACTTTCGGGTTTGAAAACAAGAGCACCAATCCTCCAAGACGAAAAAAGAAGAGGGCAAATGAAACTGGAAGGCAGGAGCCAATGCACTAATGTAAATCTCTTTTAATAAAAGTCACAGTAGACCTACAAAACGTAGGCGGGTTCTTGAATGTGTCTTATAACCAAATGTATTCTGCAGCGTAAAGGCCGAAAAACGGGGGGGGGGTATGTTACAGGATTGCAACACAAACTCCCTTTTGGAAGCAAACATTTTCCTTATTTTTGGTTTGTTATTTTACCTTGGAATGTACGAATAGTCATCACAATTTTCGGTTGTTCAACTGTAGCACGTAACATTTCGCCAGACTCTGCCCATCCACGAACTAGTGCCCCTCTTCACCCTCAACTCCAGCTCAGTAGTAACTACACTGGACAGCAAAAGAAACTTGCCACTTCTGTCAAAGGCCACACATAAAAATTCACTCCATAGAAATAAACAATTTTTGTACACAGGTATGCTGCAATACCCCTTACTAATCACATGCCCCAAAGCAAGTGATTATCTTTAAATACAAAGAAGAAATTGACATGCACAGCAACTTGGTTACTGAATAAAAAGTCACAGAATGTAACAGAATGAGCCTTAAGTTTTACGCAGAAATCAATGTAACAGGACGAAATAAAGAAGCCACAATCATTACTTTTCAATAATGGGTTTTGAATATCGGATTTTGTTCAAATTCTTTTCTTTGAATTTACGGAATAATGTCAATAAAAACACATGAGTTGTCAAAGAATCTCAGCTCCTTGTGTTTTAAATGCTTGAACCTTCGAAGGTAATTCTACTGCTCAAGCACGAAACATGATCTCTACATTCCCGCTTTCCCCGTAGTATCGTTCAAACACACTTCATCCCTACTGTGCACGAGGGACCTCATTTGAACGAATAAAAACGTTTTACATTCGTAGTACGACACATGGTTTACGGTCGTACTCCTTGGTCTAAAACAAGCTGCAATTCACTGGTAATTAAGTCATGTCTCAGTCGAGGGATCTAATGAATCTATAACCTAACACGGAAAAATACAGAAAATAGAAACAAAATTCAAGAAAAAGTTCAGCGCCCTTTCGGGCATCAACTTACTATACGCAAAAATATAAAGCAGTCAGACTAGAACTCGCACTTCCTTTTGCAGATATTTCCCTAACTTCTGCGATTAGGGATATGGAACTTACATGACTAGATAGAAGAAAATATGCCCTTTCAGATTACACCAAGATTTTGAGATTTAGATAATTTGTAGATCTTTTTTGCTCGAAAAATGGAGAACTGTCTAGGCAAGACAAGATGGGAAAGCGCAAACAAAGTCACAATTTCGCAAAACTAGGAAGCAGTTGGACAAGAACTCCCACAGGCCTTTGCAGATATTTCCCCAACTACTGCAAATATAGATATGAAACTTATATGAATAGATAGACGAACATGTGCCATATGAAACTTATATGAATAGATAGACGAACATGTGCCTTTTTAGATGACACCAAGACTGCAACATTAAGATAATTTTTTAGAACTTTTATGCTCGAATATATGAAGCATTTTCTATGCAGAACAGGACCGGTATAGTGCCGATAAAGCCAGAATTACGAAAAACTAGGAAGCAGCTCAGCAAGAACGCGCACTTCCTTTAGAAGATATTTCCTAACTGCTCCAAATAGAGACACGAAACCTGTATGAATAGATAGAGGAAAATGTGCCCTTTCAGATGACACCAAGATTGCAAGATTTAGATAATTTTTAGACCTTTTATGCTCGAGTGTATGCAGCATTCCACATGGGAAACAGCACCCAGAATAGCGCAAAACTCAGAATTACGCAAAAATATCGAGCGGTCAGACAAGGACTCGAACATCCTTTTGCAGATATTTCGATAACTACAGCAAATATGGATATGAAACATGAATGAAAAGAAAGACGAACAGGATGGCCTTTCAGATAACTCCAAAATTGCAAGATTTAGATAGTTTTTAGACCTTTTATCCTCGAATATATGAAGCATTCTCTGTGGCAAACAGGCCCCGGAATAGCCGGGTCAGAATAGTCAGAATTAGCACTTCCTTTAGCATATATTTCCCTAACTACTGCAAATATGAACATGAAACTTATATGAAAAGATAGAGGAACATGAGCCCTTTCAGATGATACCAGGATTGCCAGATTTAGATTTTTTAGATCTTTCATGCTCGAATATATGAATTATTCTCCATGCAGAAGAAGAACGTTATAGCGCAGACAAAGCCAGAATTACGCAAAAATAGGAGGCAGTTGGACAAGAACTCGCACGTCCTTTTGCAGAATTTTCCCTAACTACCGCAAATATGGACATGAAAATTATATGAATAGATAGATGAACCTGTGCCCTTTCAGATGACACCAAGATTCCAAGATTTAGATAATCTTTCGACCTATTATACTCGAATATATCAAGCATTCTCTATACGAAAAGGGACCGGTAGAGCGCACACAAAGCAAGAATCACGCAAGAATAGGACGCAATTGTTCACGAACTCGAACTTCCTTTTGCAGATATTTCGATAACTACTGCAAATTTTCACGCTCGAATATATGAAGCCTTCTCCGTGCGGAACAGGACTGGCATAGCGGAGACAAAGATGGAATTACGCGAAAATTTCAAGCAATCAGACAAGAACTCGCACTTCCTTTTGCAGATATTTCCCTAACTACTAAAAGTATGTATATGAAACTTATATGAATAGAGAGATGAACATGTGCCCTTTCAGATCACACCAAGATTGCAAGATTTAGATAATTTTTATATCTTTTATGCTGGAATATATCGAGCATTCTCGGTGCTAAACAGGACCCGGTCTAGCGCAACGCCAGATTTACGCAAAAATATCAAGACGTCAGACAAGAACTTGCACTTCCTTCTGCAGATATTTCCCTAACTACTGCAAACATGGATATGAAACTTATATGAATAGATAGATAAACATGTGCCCTTTCAGATGACACCAACATTATAAGATTTAGATAATTTTTAGATCTTTTATGCTCGAATATATCGAGCATTCTCCGTGCGGAACAGGACCGGTAAAGCGCAGACAAAGCAAGAGTTACGCAAAGATATCAAGCATTCAGACCAGAACTTGCACTTCATTTTGCAGATATATCCCTAACTACTGCAAATATGGATATGAAACATATATGAATAGTTACATGAACATGTGCCTTTACAGATGAAACCAAGACTTCCAGATTTAGATAATTTTTAGATCTTTCATGCTCGAATATATGAAGCATTCTCCATGCAGAAGAAGACCGTTATAGCGCAGACAAAGCCAGAATACTCAAAAATAGGAGGCAGTTGGACAAGAACTCAAACTTCCTTTTGAAGATATTTCCCTAACTACTGCATATATGGGTATGAAACTTAAAAAAATAGATGAACATGTGCCCTTTCAGAAGATACCAAGATTCTCAGATTTAGATAATTTTTAGATCTTTCATGCTCAAATATATTGAAGCATTCTCCGTTCGGAACAAGACCGGTATTGCACAGACAAAGCCAGAATTACGCAAAACTAGGAGGCAGTTGGACAGGAACTCACACTTCCTTTATCGGATATTTCAATAGCTACTGCAAATAAGGATATGAAACTTATATGAATAGATAGATTAACATATGCCCTTTCAGATGACACCAAGATTGGATGATTTAGATAATTATTAGATCTTTCATGCTCGAATATATGAAGTATTCTCTGTGCGGAACAGGACTGGCACAGTGGAGACGAAGCCAGAATTATGCAAAAGAAGTCAGACAAGAACTTGCACTTCATTTTGCAGATTTTTCCCTAACTACTGCAAATATGGACATGGAACTTATTTGAATAGATAGATGAACCTGTGCCCTTTTAGATGATACCTAGATTGCAAGGTTTAGATAATTTTTAGATCTTTTATTCTCAAATATATCGAGCATTCTCCGTGCAGAAAAGGACCCGGTCTAGCGCAATGCAAGATTTACGCAACAAATATCAAGAAGTCAGACAAGAGCTTGCACTTCCTTTTGTAGATATTTCGCTAACTACTGCAAATATGGATATGAAACTTATATGAATAGATAGAGGAACG